TGACCTGCACTCATCTGTTTGTCACTGTTTTACTCTCCCCTCAGCCACCAAACCGCATGCATGTCCTCACTCAGGGCAGCTCCTCAAATTCTAATCCACAGCCACACTGACCTGCACTCCTCCATGTGTTATTGTTTCATCATTCCTCTGATAGACTCCCATTTATTTTCAACAACACGTACCTACCACTTGGCAACTCCCTAACAACCACCCAGTAAACAATCCATACATCATAGCAGCTGCCTAGCAACATCTTAGCAACTGTGCAATGCCCTATTCTACTTTTTAACTGTTAACTTAGCAGTTTCATTGGCCACTGAGGCATTCAGGCACCATTTAAGGTGGAACTCCTAATCAGAAAATATTACCAGTGGCCACTTTTTGTTTTGTTTTGTTTTTAGCTAACTGCTAACAGGCTAATAGCTGCGCACACACCACCCACCACAAAACACGTTTGATTCCGTCTGACACTCCAACTCCAGACATGATCTCATCTTCTTTATCCTATAAACGGGGTTTATTTAAGCATCTGTTACTGAAACAGCCTGTACTGCATTGGGTTTCACCTGTAGCCGGATAGCTACACTAGCATTAGCATCGCCCGGCAGGGTACAACTCAAAGCAGCACAGAACAGTTCTGTTTTTTATCTTACTGTCACTTCAACACCAGACATTCGCGTCTGTGCTCTCAGATATGAGTCTTTATCCTCTAAACGGGTGTTTTTAATCATTGGTTCGCTGGAACTGAGCCTGTATTGCAGTGGGAGGCACCGTGCACTCGCGTTAGCTTAGCCTAGCAGGCTACAGCTTAAAGGCCTGTAGAACAGGTTCAATTTCGGTTTTCTGTCACTCCAGCACTGATCAGTCGATTTTGCTCTCGCTGTTGTAAGTTTTTATCATCTCTACCTGTGATCGCAGAGCACCAGTTAGTTAAATCGAACCTGCACTGGGGCATCTGGATCTCTCCAGCTAGGCTAGGTTAACTGGGAGAGAGGAGCTGGCTTACATTAGCTTAGCTAGGAGGCTCCAGCTCTCTAGCTCCAGCGAATAGCTACGTCATTACGTCATCCCACCAAATGGTTCTTTGGCCCCGAGTACAGTGAGCTAATTGTGCCAGGCTGTGTCCGTGTGGAAACACCACCGGAACGGTTACCCTCCATGCTCAGAACCGTTCGGCCCTGCAATGGAAAAGAGGCCGCTGTGTCCCGGTCTCGGTCTTGACCTGGACTTGGCTTTAGTGGCCTTGAAAAAAGTGCCTTTCATAACAGTCGGACGCTTTTCGCTCAGTTTCTTGCAGCAACCTGCTCAGAACAGAATAAAAGCTCTGGAGAACCAAGACGTTTTAACACATAATACTGAAAACAGAGCTGAATCTGGACCTCAGAACCGAAGATCGTATCGATTCTGAAAATACGTGCATCGTCACACCACTAGCAGAGACAGAGGGAGAGCTGTGAGGACCAGACCGAGCGCAATGCTGCCAGGAGACTCTCTGAAGAAGCAGCCAAATAAATCTCCACCTTCTGCCAACCCGACCAGATCTAGATTACCAGCAAAATTATGCATCTCTCTTTGAATTATTCACCAGCGCTGCTAAGAGGAGGACATTTCAGAGGGGATGAGATGCAGGTCAGGAACCCACAGATCAATACGGCCAATCGGAGAACAGGCGGAGACCGAAAGCTTTCTGAGTGATGGACTTTTCAGCGGCAGTGTTTTGAGTGATGGACTTTTCAGCGATGGTGTTTTGAGTGATGGACTTTTCAGCGAAGGTGTTTTGAGTGATGGACTTTTCAGCGATGGTGTTTTGAGTGATGGACTTTTCAGCAAAGGTGTTTTGAGTGATTTGCTCAGTTCCTCTTCACTGACACACGAGCTGGACTGAGATGAAGAGGTTTGTCCATCCTCTGGTCAGCTCACAGCGTGAGTGGGTGTTAAAACGAGCCCATGGAGAGGTTTAACTGCTCAGAGGGGTGAAACAGGTGTTTACAGCGCGTCTGTCTGAAAGCGCTTTGCTTTTATCCTCGATTTGAGGCTCCTCTGTGGACTGTAGATTAAAGAGCCCCCATCCTTCATTTTACTTGTACTTAATTTCCCCTCCTGAGGTCCACCTGTAACATTTGTGTGGTTATTTTTTACCAAAAACACAATTTATTGCCACATGATTATTTTCCAACCTCTCTTTAATTCTCAGAATTAAAGGGACAGTATCACGGAAAACTGAATTTTCCTGATATACTACGTGAACACTCACCCCCCGGTCCATACAAACTACACATAAAACAGCCCATTTTGAATTCATGTTTTTGTGATGTCATATCTATATCTATAAACATGGATTAACGTACAGACAAAGTTCAGTCTTCCAGGTGGCTGCTACTGTTCTTAGCTATGCTAAAGTCATTTAGTCCACGTGTGCAGATAACAGTGAGTCATACAGCATCTATATGATGATTTATGCAGTTAGCACCATGCTAACAGATGCATGCAAGCTACTATTACTTGTTAGCTGGGTCATTCTACAGAAATGTCCATTCTTGTGTCCCTAGCTTTTACAGATATATTACACTTGAGAAACATGTTAGGGTTACAATTTATTTACATTTTAAAATAAAACAATAAGTTATTTTAACAATTGCACCTTCTTGAGCCTCAATTTAGCAATATTGGTTTATAAATCAATCATATACAATTCCAAGCACCACAGAAGAGCTCGTCCTTGTGTGAAGGCTGAGGCCATATTTTTAGGTAAAAAACGTTTTTCTTCAAGTTTAACTGCAATAATCTATACATGATTATGAAACATATGATTTGAATGACATAAAGAAAACAAATGGCAAGTAAATATTACAAAATATATAATGAGAGTTGTTGTCCCCAGGAGTTGTGTCACTGGTGTTACTGCGTAACAAAAAATCTCTTATTTTGAAATAAAAGTCACACTGATGACATCACTCGACTTCCTTTTACCTGTTTTCTGAGGATCTATGAAGAAAAGCACATGGTGAGTCCACTGTGTCTTTCAGTTATCAGAGATTTTCTCATTTAGCTCATGATTTCATACGAAGCTTTTAGCTGAAGTCACTGGTGTGACCGACTTTATTCTGAGGTAACTGTGAAAGAATAGAATACAAATGGATTAAATTCCATATTTTAGTGGATATTCCATGATTGTCAACATGTGGTTTGATGTTCTGTAGCAGCCGTTTTGTAAAATGCATTGTTCATTAAAATGTCTCTGGTGTTCCTTTATTATGTGGAACACCGATGACGATCAGTGACACCAGCGACTCCTATGGAGAGATAAAAAAGTGGACGTTTCTGTAGAATGACCCATGTACATTAGCCCTGTAGCTCCAGTGCTAAATATAAAGAAGCAAACTTCAGACACAAGTGAAATAAAGTGATTCTGATTCAGACACTAAACGTGTCCTGGCTGATCAACTACATTTGGGTTAACCACACAATCCGCTAAAGGAGTCCATCCCGTCCCGTTCACGTCGCCGTTGACAACAGCACAATCATTTTTACTCATTTCCGCCTGTAGAACCAGAGCTTTCCATGAGCTTCCATGTTTCTATGACTGTTAAAGATGCACAAGGCTTCCTTTATTTTTGGTTGCTCCAGTTTTCCAAGCAAGTGCATGAGCTCATTTAGACAGACAAGCACTTCTTATTGGTTCTTATTGATCTTGTTGATCGCTATTTTTAGAATTATTACTTTGTAGAGAGTTTGACATGAGCTAGATAAGAAGCTAAGACTATTAACATTTATGCTAGCAGCCACACTTGACAGGAAAGAAAATGAAGCTTTGTTTAATTCTACATATGATTCTGTGGAAATGTAGGCTTTTTTGAGCAGAATAGAGTAGAATATCATTTCATATCAGCCAGTAAGGTAACTGGCTTGCAAAGCAGCTAATTAGCCAAAATATATGCTTTAGAATGATATCAAATGACCAAAAAGACAACTGCATTGTCACAAGTGGCTGTTATAAACAGTTTTGGGTTTTTTTATGTGTGAAAACATCTTTATAAAGCGAAACTTCTATCTCCATTTTTGTCCTTTTTCAGTTTTTGACATAATTTGAAAATACCTGTTGCCTTTTACATTGTGTGTAAACTTCATGATGAATGGACCAAAAGAAACGGCCCAAAATTACTTGGACAAAAAGTCTGGTTCCATTGACTTACATTAAAAGCAAAGTATGTTTTTTCCTTCTCCTGTAAAATGATCATTTTAGAGATACGAGATTTTGTTCTGACTGCAGTGATATTCTGAATGAGATCTCCTCTTAATCTCAAGAACTTCTTTTAGATGTGGCTGAGTCCTGTTTTGAAACAGAGACTTAATCCACTTTCTACTGTTTCTTGATCAGAGCAACGATAAAGCGTGACTGATGTGTTACTTGTATTCCTATTTGTGTTTTCTTGTTAAAAAAGACAAACTGAATAAAAATCTCAGAATATTTTGCTTAGTAAGGTCACGTTGTTTACATATCAAACGTATCAGTAGGACAAATCACAACATTAACAAGAGCAGACTGAACAGCAGAAATAGGCAAATTTTTGCAGCTGCTTTAAATGTTAAAGGGGTAAAAATGCGATTTTCAGCCAAACTATCACTTTAAACAAAATTACTTTTATAGTTTAACAGCTTTTAATTCACAGACACAAGTTTAGATCCTCAAACTTAACTATATATATATATATATATATATATCAGCTTATGTAAGGATGGTTCAATGACTTGGTGCTACAGAGCAGAACTAAGTGTGCCGGTATGTGATGAACAGAGCGTACACTTGTGGAGGCCGCAGGGGGTGAAGAGCTCGACGGAAACAAAATCACCACAACCCATCAGAGTGGGGTTTAAAATAGACTCCGGGTCGTATAATCTGCTGAGTTACTATAACAGGGAGATTTGGTTGTCAGAGTACATTCATCTCTCTCTCTCTCTCTCTCCTTCTCTGTTGTTATGACTCCAGACCAGTAGCTTACCTAGCTTCTTCATCCCTCGCTATCAGGAGTCGCATGTGATTAGTGGACGAGGCCGCTCGGAGGATGTCCACCGCTCTAGGAACAAAAAACAACAGCAAAGAATTAACATAAGAAATTTGAATATGACTGCAATTCTTTAGAACAAGCTTTAACCTCTTCAACTCTGTGGGACCACTGGTGGTTCCAAAATGCACTTCATCATATTCTTCATAACTTTCATATTTCATAAGCTACATACTAAAGGTGGGGGTCGTATGAGAGCTGTAACTGTCTTCTTTCCAGTCAAATAGATGAGTGATGTAATTTTAAACGCTTATAATAAAAGAAGCTGAACTCACAAATCTGGTCTATAAACTATAAACAGATGGCGTCTCTTCAGTGATCTGCTCTGTAAACATTATTTTTATAAAATAATACAAAGAGCGTCTAAGATTTGGCTTTCAGTAGTAAATTGTAAGCATATAGCAATATGTGTATGATCATAAAACACATTTTCTGTTCATCTGAGGGGAGCTTTTACAAAAAATAAATAAATAAATAAAACTAAAATTTACATTTATTTCATGCAGTTACTGAATAATTTGCCCTACAATTTGGTCACATTAATTCAGATGGACAAACCAAAATATACCCTGGTCAATAGTGCACTACAGCGCATCAAATTTCTCCAAAACTCTATACAATTTGATTATTTCAGCACAAATTGTTGTTAATAATTGTTAAAATAAATATTAATAGAAATACTTTTGCACGCCGGATAGGATTGTGTCGTGGGCCTGATCTGGTCCGCGGGCCTTGTGTTTCTCACATTGGCATTAGATAGGCAGAAACAGAGCACTGCCTTACAATACAATCTTATTTAAAATGTAAAAGATCAGAACGTACCTCTCACTCGTAACTCCAATCAAGCTCTCTCCGTTAACCTCCAGTATCTGGTCTCCTGGCTGCAGGTGTCCTAAACACAGATTTACGCAAAGATGAGGTAAAAGTGAACAGATGGTGACACACTTATGGTTTAGTTCTTCACGTCTGGCATCACGTTCTACATCTACAAACACAACAGAGAGAGCTCATTACACACGAAGGACTTTTTTTATTAACACTCTGCATGTACCAATCTGATCCAGTGGAGTTCACAGGCATAATATAATGGATAGGGTGTTGATATAGCAGCTATATTAAAGGGAATTTTTTAAATTTCCCCATAATTCAGTGTGAGAGATGTAAACAGAGAGATTCAGAGCATTTTGGTGTGAAATGGTTCAGATGTTTTCACAGTGGTGGTGATAGGAACCAGGGGTCGCCATGACTACAACACAAATATAGACATTTTATTTACTATCCAGAACCACCAGTGAACCTACACGAGTCTTCTGAGTTTATATGGAATGTTGATGATGGAAAATAGTGGAAAATCTGGAATAATAAGTTTTCTTTGGGGACTTTTTTGGCTTAGAACAGCCAGCATTTACCTTTTATATGTAAATGGATTTTATACATTTTGTGTAAAAGCCTTCAGTGAGGCTTTTAGAGACATTAAAACGCTTTGGATTTATGGTTCCTATTACTACTGTTATAAACAGATCTGATAAGATCTGATAAGAGCTTTTCACATCAAATCACTCCGAATGACTGTTGACATCTTAAAAAAACAATATATCAAAAATGAAATTATTTTACTGTAAATGAAATGAAGTGTGTTATTATTTGGACCTGTCCAGGATGTTTCCTGCCTTCCGCTCAATGACTGCTGAGATGGGCTCCAGCTCCCACCGTGACCCAGAAGGATAAGCGGTTTAGAAAATGTGTGTGTGTGTGTGTTTGTGTGAGTGAGTGGATGTGTTATTATGTGGAGGTTTTTAGTTGCATTGGTAAATCTGAGACTTGCACGTTGTCTAGACGTTTGCACATCTTAACCATTTAATTCCGCAGAAATTTGCAATCAGTGGAACTAATTACAGGAAGTTATTCTATGAAATGATTATGAATTGGCTGCCTGATGTCTGAGGGTGCTTTCACTCCTACCTTGTTTGTTTTGGACCTTCAGACTTTTCAGTTTGGTCTGAAACGAAATAGCAGGTGTGAAAGGTGCCTCTGACCACGGCCCAAACCAAAGGACCAAAATTTGCTCCGACCAAAAGAGGTGATCTTGGTCTGGATGATACTGAACAGTGGTTCGGTTTGTTTGCAGTGTGAAAACACAATTTTGGATGGTTTGGACCAATTACAGGGCATTGAGGCAGGATATCATCACCCATTAAACATCAGAAGTAGAAAAAGAACCGAGAGAGAAGTAAAAATGAGCCGCGGTATCCGTTTTGGTCGATACTCAGTATTAAAGCGCCAAAAACTTGAGGACATTCCTCATAAAATTCATACACACTGACACATTCCAGCATTTTGTAAATATTCCGACCTAAAGCGATACTTCAATTGTTTGGAAACAACCATGTAAGCTATACTAACACTGTGCTAGTTCAGTGTTTTCAAAGCTGCTGATTCTGAAACGACCCTATTTAAATGTAAATGTACTTTTTTAATTTAAATGTAAATGTAAACGTGTCATATATGCAGAAACCCCTCAAACTGCTGTATGATTATATGTATGATCATATTATCACATTTGCATGTTCAAACGGTTTGCTAACGCAGCAAAACATGATCTAAACCTGAACCTGGCTGTTCGAGCAGAACCTCAGAACCTGCCGGCAGAACATCTCTGAATTAATCACACTCAGTTTAATCTTTAGCTGCTAAAGCTGCTCGCAAAATCAATCCAGTGACCTCAAGAAGGAAGGAAACCGAGGAATCAATCGACACCATCCATCACGCTCATCGCTGACACTCGTCAGGCTGAGCTGATCAATACAAGTCAAAACACAATACAAACCCACCAGCTGCTCACTCGCTTAACGGCTTTAGTTTAGAGCTGATCGGTGGAAAAAATTAATATGCCATTTGTATGATTTTGGAGATGATGCATGCACTGTTGGACATAAACCACTATTTATGCTTAATTACAACAAGTACAACTCATCAACACTCGAAAAAAATGCCCTGTTTAAATAAATACTTATTTTTTAATTTACATACATCTCAGAGAAGATCCAACAAACTGCAAGTAAAAATGAGCTGCAAACGCAGAGAACACTGTTATCAAAACGACAACATGACGCTACATTTCACAGACTTTTAAATTCTATGCAGCACAAACATTCACGGTAAAAGAAAGTTAACTTTTATTTGAGCAGATTAATATCACTGTATCGTAATGGGAATTAGCCGTAGAGTGTAACTGTAAATGTTTAGCTAGTAACACCAGATTAACAACCACAGCACAGCTACGACAGGTCAGTCAGCAAACTAGCCAGCCAGCTTAACCATGAACTGGGGATGCGAGAGTCCGAGTGTCTGTGGTCTGATCTGCTTCTGTCAGTGATTTTCCATCATAGATATTCCATCCACTTTGAGTCTTCCAGAAACACTTCCGTTGCGTTGTGGCTCATTTCCGTTGCGTTGTGGCTCATTTCCGTTGCGATGTGGCTCACTTCCGTTGCGTTGTGGCTCATTTCCGTTGTGTTGTGGCTCACTTCCGTTGCGTTGTGGCTCACTTCCGTTGCGTTGTGGCTCATTTCTGTTGTGTTGTGGCTCATTTCCATTGTGTTGTGGCTCATTTCAGTTGCGTTGTGGCTCATTTCCGTTGCGTTGTGGCTCATTTCCGTTGTGATGTGGCTCATTTCCGTTGTGTTGTGGCTCACTTCCGTTGCGTTGTGGCTCACTTTCCGTTGTGTTGTGGCTCACTTCCGTTGCGTTGTGTCTGGCTTTGCAGTGTTTCTGCAGTTTGGTGTTTCTTTATTTGCAGTGCGTTTGTGAAATGTAGCTCTGATGTAGTCACCTTGAAGAAAGGGTTTTGCATTCGTATTTCAAAAGAACAGCACCAGATTTCATTTAGAAGTGGGATGAGATCAAATCATTAGAATAGAACAGAATAAACTTTACTGTCCATTTCTGGAAATGTGTCTTTGGCTTCACCAGGTTGCACAGAATAATAAAATAAAAAGTACATACAAGTGCAAAAACACACCTAAGAGCACACGAAACCTTCAAATACACACTCACTCAGAAGCTCCGTAAGGAATAAATGAATTCTTAAAAATATTTTATGTGGTTCGAGGCTTTCTTCCTACTACTGGACCAGGGGTCACAACTCAAATGTAAAGAAGAGCCATTTTGTCCTTTCAACAAAAACCAAACCACCTCAAGAGCCACAACATTTAATGTCCATTTTATTGAAGAAACATTTTACCTTCTTGGCTGTAAATATGTCTCAGTATGTGCTGATGGTTAAAAAATATAAACAAAAACTCAGATGTACTTTGCTCTGCTTTAAGCTTTAGCTCAGTTATAGCTGCTTTTCTCGCATCTCCAGCAGGAAACTTTTCCTCAAAAGTAGAACAGTTTCTTGTCAAATTTAAGGCCTCTCATTCTCCAGCTTCTTGTTTGAATCTTCTTGTTCCACCTTAAACGGTGCCTGAAGCACCAGAATGTAACTGCTGCACCATTTAAGGTCAAATAAGACAGTTTGAACGAGAAGCTGGCGAATGAGAAACTGACTTCAGCTTCACGACTTTTAGTGTTTGTCAGTTTCTCACTGCAGATTAAACGTATCAGGAAACCAGCTGGAGTGATTATAAATAAATCTCTCTCTTTGACGTTTCGTTAGCTACTAGCTAGGCGAGACTGTTGTCTGTGTTGCTATGGTGACCAGCAGTCTGCGCTGATCTTCAGGGTTAAAGGGTGAATTAGCAGTTCTACATTAACTCCAGAGTTTAAGACCATTTATTGTTAAACTGTGTTGAACGATCAGCAGAGCTTTATTTTACTGTAAAGGAGGATTATTTTATTTTTACCTACTAATCTGATTCAGCTGTGGAGCCACAACAGGGCAGTAAAAGAGCCGCATGTTGCCGACCTCTGCTGTTTTTGTGGTTTATGTATGATTTTCCCAGCCACATTCACAACACTAGACAGCTTGGTCTCATCCTTAGCACCAAGGATACCATACGAAGTATGTATATTATACGTAAAAACACTCTCAACTAAACTGACCAACTCTAAAACATCTCCGCTCATAGAGCAACTGTGCAGTGTCCTCAGCAGGTTCATGTGCTGCACAGCCTTTTTAAAGATATACTCAGAGTTCTAAAGGTAGCGTTCCTTAGCATTCACATTAACAGAGCAATCACACCAGGGCTCATTTTAATCAGACCAAGCCTGCTGAGTGAGAACACGGCCCCAAGCCGGGGGAACAGCGCTGCTCTCGGGCCTGTCCTGATGTTGGAGAGGGCTGTGTCCCGATGTAGGTCAGGTTTACGTTACCTGTGGCCCTGTGCTTTTTATATCTCCTAAGTGAGATCCTGTCTCCCCCCATCAGCATCAAGTCGCTTATTTTGGGGTTGAAAATGGAAGCGAGCTCCAAGGTTTCCCCGCGGCTGCTGACATCACCCCTCACGGGACTCTTCCTATAAACAGTGTCTTTCAACAGAGAACGCAGAACACTACAGCACGTCCTGATGGTCTCAGGAACGCAGTGTTACCGCCAGCATTACTAACAGTGTCACTACCAGCGACAGTCTGTTTTTAAGGCTGCTGGAGTTTTAACTCGCTGGAACTTCATCTCACTGAAGACGATATGCTTCCAATAAGCTAATGCTGCTAATGGCTAAAGGCACTGGCCTTTGTGTCCAGTTTAGCTTGGTCTTTGAAGTCACTTGTTTTTATAACCTTGTATTTTTAGATGTATTTTATTACATTTCTGTGGCTCACGGTTCCACTGCAACACTCTAATCTCCAAATAAGGGACGCTTTAGCAAGTAGGCTATAAAGGTCAGTAGAAGGCTAAGCTACCATTTGTAGATTATGATTGCCAATATTTATATTCCTCATATTAAAATGATTTTTGCAAGTTTCATCTTCTTTGTGAGAGGCAGGAAGTGTCACACCTGTGCTTTTAAAGATATTAAAAATATTTTTTTATTAGTATTATGATAGTGATTAAAGTAGAAATAGTCTAGAAATCTGTATTTCTAGAGTTTAAGCACAAAAGTATTTGATTTAACTGTACTTAAAGGGGAATTTCACCTATTTATTTTTACATTCCTCCATAATTCAGTGTGTGAGGTGTAATCAGAGAGATTCAGAGTGGTTTGGTGTAAAATGGTTCAGATGTCTTTACAGTGGTGGTGATAGGAACCAGGGGTCGCCATGACTACAACACAAATATAGACATTTTATTTACTATCCAAAACCACCAGTGAACCTACACGAGTCTTCTGAGTTTATATGGAATGTTGATGATGGAAAAATAGTGGAAAATCTGAAATAATAAGTTTTCTTTGGGGACTATTTTGCCTCACAACGCCCTGCATATTATGCATATCCCTCCACCGTGAAGTTCAAAACACTCACAAAACTATCATAAAACAGTGTCTCAGTCATCAGGCAGTAAATTCATAATCATTTCATGTAATAATTTTTTGTGAGGGAGCTTTAGAGGTGGACGTCTGGTTCCTATCGCCACCACTGTGAACAATTTGGAGCGTTTCACACCAAACCACTCTGAACGACTCTGTTTACATCTTAACCATTTAACTATGCAGAGATTTTAAAAATCAATGGAGATGGTTATGAATATGCTGCCCGATGTCTGAGACATTTAAGAGCAGACTTTTGCCTAAAACTTTGATATTTTTAATCTGTTCACAGTGGAGGGGTACACACAAGGCAAAACAGTTCACTGGTGGTTCTGGATAGTAAATAAAATGTCTATATTTGTGTTGTAGTCATGGCGACCCCTGGTTCCTATCACCACCACTGTAAAGAAATCTGAACCATTTCACACCAAACCACTCTGAATCTCTCTGTTTACATCTCACACACTGAGTTATGGGGAAATTAAAAAAATGTGAAATACTGGTGGAATTCCCCTTTAAGTACAGTATGAACCAGATGTACTTTGTCACTGTCCACCACTGGAAGGTGCACAGCTCAAACAAGCACACTATTTTCCAAAAATAAGTCTGAGTTGAGTTCAGTTATTGCATATTTACCTCATGGTGAAAACATCTGTAGCGCAGCATGCTAACTGTCTGCAGCGCTGCAGAGATAACGGAGCACATGGTGGACTCTAATTCCCGCTAGCAGCATTAGCGTTAAGCACATGGATGATGCTGAACTCTTCACCACACGTGACTCGAACACAGACAGGCAGCCAGCGAGACACTATCTGCTCTCCGTAAACACGGTCAGCGTTACGCACTGTATAAACACAGGGCTAAACAGCGCACTGTCACCTTCAACAGTGGGACAGCTAACGGCTTCTTTCTGGCCATTTACTACAGCACTAAAAACAATTTAATTTGGGTAAAGTTTTGATTTTTTTATTCTAATTTTGGTTGTTTACTCAATTAATTCACACTAATGAGATTGCTGCTCTTTGTTCATTAGCAAAAACTGTACACAATCAGACGGATCAAAGCAATTTAATTAAACCAGCAGGTCAGAGCAGATTTGGACTTGTCACTGGCTGCAAAGTCTGTAATCACTGTGAGAGGCTGTTTACAAAAAGGCCTACTGACCATTACTGTTTATAGCGAATCATTACGTAATTTCTAAAGTACTGTTGACGTGGTTCATGAGTCTAACACGGCCTTTAGGCCTCAGCGCGATGCTAGTCAGCGCAGGCGTCTGTTAGCTGACGTAACAGATCTGGCGGTTGGCGCTTTCCTCCGAGCGCGTTCGGCTGTCCAGTGACGTTGCGTGAGCGGCAGCTCGAAAAGAAAGCGGTGGCTGGGTCTCGGAGGAAGCCTGTGTTAGCTTTCACCCTCCTAGCGTTGATAGCATCCTAACCAGCGGGGTGGAATTGGGGAGAAAATCGGGGTAAAAATTAAAAAAAAAAAAAATTGTCCCCATTAGCTGGACTTCTGTACAACCTAGCTACCAAACCACAAGAAAATCTACCAAACCATGCAAAAAATTATCAAACCATATCAAAAACTGCCAAACCACGCCAAGAACAACCAAACCATACCAAAAACTACTAATCCATACCAATAATAATCAAACCATACTGAAAACTACCAATGAAACCAAACAACGAAACCATATGAAACACCATACATCCAAGCAATACAGAAAACTACTAACCCACTCTAGAACCACCAAACCTTTTTCTTAAAATGAGCTCATCAGAAAATGTGTGTTTAGACTGAAATTAGTCACAAGACCCTCACAATCAAACAAAACTGGCCACACGTTTGCTGTAATCGTGAAGAGGGGAAAATGAAGATGGCTGAAATGGGCCTGAATGGGGCTCGAGTCTCTACATAGAGCGAGGATGAACAGTTCAGCGGCTGAAAAATGAATAACACTCAACATGATGTCTGAATATGAGGAAAGTCCTGCCTTTCAACATAACGAGCCAATCAGCTTGCTGGTAAAGCCACAAGTGTGAAAAGCTCTGTGAAAAGATCAGCCTGGAAAATTATTATTTGCATTATTTGATTCAAATGTAACAAACTATTTAGGCAATTTTTCGTCAGAATGTATCAGTGATTTCAAAGATGCTTTTAAAACATTAATATAGCTGTTTCAGGTTTGAAGGTCTCTCCTCAGTCAAACAGATAAGAGTCTGGTCTTGTAAGAGGGGAAATATCTGCCCAGGTACGTTGCCACAGGCCACTGAGTGGACAGGCTTTTCTGAATGGATTTTAATTTAACACACCTGATTCAATTCATCAGCATATCGCTGTTGTTGGAAGGAAACCTCATATCTCCAAAATGGTAACTTTACAGGAGAAGGAAAAAACATACTTTACTTTTAATGTAAGTCAATAGAACCAGACTTTTTTCCAAGTCATCTTGGGTCATTTCTTTTAGTCCATTCATCATGAAATTTACACATAATGTAAAGGGAAACAGGCATTTTTAAATTATGTCAAAAACTGAAAAATGTCAAAAATGGAGATACAAGGTTTTGTTCCTGACAGCGACGATATACAAACTGCTCCATCAGGGGGATCAGGTGAGTCTGACTAGCACACACAAAATATGGACATTTTAAGTCATTCACAACCCAAAAATGAAATAAAAGCAGCAGTAATATGTTACCATCACTGGAGGCAAGGCCACCGGGCAAAATCCTCTTCACGTACACTCCAAACTCCTCTCCTGTTAACTCCTTCACTCCTCCAATCACTTTAATACCTAAAGGGGGAACAGAAGGACAGCAGGTGCTTCATTCAGCCTTTAAAAACACTGTGCACATCAGTACTGAACTGAGTTCACGGGAAGCGAGACTGACCTAGAATTTTAAACAAGTAATTTAGGTCAGTTGTGTGTAATTTTAATGATGACATGACATACAAAAGCATTCAGTAAACATCATTACATCATTAGTGTTGCATTAGAATAACGCAGTATCTCCAGGATCAACAGTGTGATCAGATGACTTAGTGACAAATCAATAACTATAAAATAGACTATATGGTATATTATACAGCTAAAACAATAACAGCCTCCTCATAAAGCCAGAATTGTTATAGACAACAGTATGTCGTAATGTCGTAATACTCCACATGATTCGAGTGGTGACGATTTAGGCGTGCAGTTAGCACCATGCTAACTGATGGAGTATAAGCTTCCCCTATTTGTTAGCAATGTGAAACCATCAGAGCGTTCTCAATCTTTAGAGAAGGCCGCATGACTCCCCTGAAATAAAAAAAATATGTGTCTGTAATTTTTAGTTCATTTTTATTGACAAGGTCATTGTGCTAGTTGTACTTGTGAATACTGCAGTATTATACAACAGTTAGTTCCGGCCATAACATCACGGTTTATTCACACTGTATCAATCCGCTGAGACACCGTTGCTAAGCAACGACTTCGACAGCTGTAGGAGATGCTCAAGCCATTTGAACGTCTTACTTCTTACTTTGCCACAAACAGAAAATGGACACTTTTAAGATCACATTTTCTTTGGTTTCTTTGGTCTCTTGTTCTCCATCTTGCTGGTGTTTCTTTTTTTCTCATAATTCTCTGTTTGGAGTCTCTGAAAAACCTCCGTTTGGAGGGCCATGTAGCCCCAACGCTTCACCCTACCCCTCTATCTCAACAAGATTCGGGACACTCTACTCCTAGATTTGAACACACTAAAACAGAGGGGTAGGGCTGAGTGGTAGGGGTGAGGGGTGAAATGGGACTGGGCCTAAGTTGCAACCACTTGTAGTTTCAAATGTTCAACAATGATTCTGTTCTAATTCCACTAAATGTCATTGTTCAGCACAGATATAATAAGATTTCGTCTGTTTGTCTGGATGCATGAGGTCGTTTTAACCTCACTTTACCCTCCTGGGCAGCCTGAGGTGAAAAGACTCCAGCGAAAGTTCACTGTAATTGGAGGTCACCTACTGGATTACGCTGAGGCTCAGCATAGCAACCACGAGAAAGTCTAACTGTTGTATTAGTGGACGCCATCACCCACAGCACCCCCAACCCCCCACCCCCCCGACTCACACACACACACACCCACGCAATGACGGCTGTATGTCCCATTTGTAACTGATCGCTAAGCGAGATAATTAAAACCATAACCAGCTTATGAGCTCAATGGCGAACAGCAACGAGCCTTCAGATCAACTCTACACTCCTCCAGTCACCGCACACTCAGGTAGCTCAGTGCTGAAAGGAGAATTCCACCAATTATTTCCAAATTCCTGTGTAACTGAGTGTGTGAGGTGTAAACAGAGTGATTCAGAGTGGTTTGGTGTGAAATGGTTCAGATGTCTTTACAGTGGTGGTGATAGGAACCAGGGGTCGCCATGACTACAACACAGATATAGACATTTTATTTACTATTCAGAACCACCAGTGAACCTACACGAGTCTTCTGAGTTTATATGGAATGTTGATGATGGAAAATAGTGGAAAATCTAAAATAATAAGTTTTCTTTGGGGACTATTTTGCCTCACAACACCCTGCATATTATGTATCCCTCCACCATGAATGGAGTTTAAGGCCAAAATCTTCTCAAAACTATCATAAACAGTGTCTCAGTCATCAGGCAGTGAATTCATAACCATTTCATGTAGTAACTTTCTGTGAGGGAGCTTTTAGAGGTGGACGTCTGGTTCCTATCACCACCACTGTGAACAATTCTGAATCAGTAATACTTCATGCATTATTTTAAGCAATAATTACTAATTTTCTCCCAAATCAAAGCAGTTGAATAGCACTTTTAAATTGAGGTACTGATGCTGTTATGGATGTCTGGATGTGTGGTTCTATAAAGAAATTTAAAAAAAGTTGTTTAATGACATTAAACTAAAGGGTCAGTATGAATTTAACAGTATAACAGAACAGAGTAGCCCGTGACCCATTACCCACATATAGACACTGACAATCAGCACAATCACCTCAGGTGCACTAAACACTCGATTTAACTGCCTGAGCCAGGTGGAGCTAAAGCTGAGCACAGCTTGTGAAGCCAAACTGCCACCAACTCTAATTAATAAGCTTCTCTTGCTGGTTGATTAATTATACAGAGATTGTCCAGTGAAAGGACAGAACGAATCACGTGGGCAAGTGGAAACTACACAAGTTTCCAGATGTTCATAACAGGGGTGTAAGAAAACATTGATACACTTGAGCATCGCAATATTATGTTTTGTGATACTGTATCGCTTCTCAAAAACACAGAATTGATTTTTAATTAATAGTCTACGCGCAAAGATTTGTGGCAGAAAGTAGTTCATCATATGTTGTGTTTAAACTCCGACCGCTGGATAGACAGCAGTGTTGTGCTGTAATCTATCTTCAGCCATTAGACTTTTTATTTCACTCAGGTTTTACGCATATGGTGGTGCTGTTTTTAACCCCAACAGGGTCCTCACTTCTGTTTAAGGTCCGTTTCTCTGGTTTTTAGGCAGCTGAGTCAGCAGCATAGTTCACTACCAGCATAATGAGCTCCATTTATTTCTACTGTAAAACGCTGCTTTCACTGTGAGATGATTTTCTTTTCTAACTCTGCGTTTTAAAGATCTCAGACGCTGCAGACTCGATCTCCACCACCCCTCTGATTACCTTCTGTTACGTGTAAGCACTTATTCTGTTTTTTTTTAGTGTTTGTGTCTCTCTCCCTCTCTCTTGGTCTCTTCCTTCATAGAGGTACCTGCTCTGGAACCAATCAGAGGCCTGGCTGGTGCAGTTAGGGGAGGAGCTTATGTTTTAAAAGAGGCCTTCAAGATGGCTGAAGAGAGAGGACTGATTACATGTGCTGTTTTAGTGTGTGTTTTAATCTCTTGTGTTGGGGGTGCTTGTTTTAGGTATTTTACCAGAGCTTCTTTTAACTTAGTTTGTAAGATGGTCTTTTATGTTAAAAGGAAGTACTTCGGCTGTGGTATTTTACCTGCACGCTTTTAACTTTTTGTTTTTTGTTTTTTTTTTACAAGAGATTGTTTGTACCACCTGGGGTTTCAAACAGGTAAGAGGGGCGCGCCTATACATTTGCACCACGTAGATGTCTACTCTGTCTAGCTCCCTGGTCAGAGGGCACCGCCACATGTACTTTTGGTTACTGGCAAGGGAAGTTTAGAGTAGTTAGCTTTGGTTTCTTTTTTTTAGATTAGCTAAATACTTTTGGTTTCAGAGTAGGCAAGCGTGGTTCGGTTTTGATATGTTCTTTTCTTTGGTGCCGTCCAGTTTGGTTCTTCCAGTGGTACTAGGTATCACAGCACTCTGGTTTTATTGATGTTTGTTTTAATAAAAATGGCTTTAAAAGCTCTATTTTGGTCTGTTCCTCACGCTTCTAATTAATTCTCACCAGTTCAGTATTTTAATGCCACATGTTGCCGATCCCACGTACTCTAGACAAAACGTGGGGCTGTAACACCTAGGTGTGTTATTGTTGATGATGAAATATTACAGTGATGGTGGTGAATAATGAGGAGACGGAGCTGAACGTGTGTCTGTTTATTAGGAGGAGTAACGTTAGCGTGCTCGGCTGAAGCGTTTGGGAAATGGAGACTGAAACTGGTGAGCGGCGATGCTCTGATAAACAGCAGGGGGCGCTCTCACAGTATTCACAACTTACAGTTTATCCCACTTCAGTTTAGTTTGATCTTTTTTACATCAGTAACTGCAGCTGTCTGGCTGACCAACTTCACTACTTTGATGATGCGTTTATGTTTCAGCTGTGTGTGTTTGTGGTCGGTTGCTAGGAAACAGACATGACAACTGATTGTCAACTTCAGTAGAGCAGGTTAAGATTTCCTAACTGGAGATAAATGCTGTAAGTTAAGATAAGATTCCTAAATTAAGATCAGATTTGCTTCTGTAATAAGAATTAATGAAAAATCTTATCTGGACCTGTCAGATCTAGACTAAAGACAAAAAGTTAGACACTTAAATAAAGGTTCTTCAAGAGTTCTTTAGTAAGGAAAAGGGTTCCGTATAGAACCATGAACACTTTACATGATTAAAGCGTTCTTTGCATCATGAAAGAGTTCTTCAGACTGATGGAGAATGTACTGTAAAGGTCCTATACAGAAACTTTTTGAAAAGGGTTCTATATAGCACCAAAAAGGGTTCTGCTGTTGTTATGATGTTAAGCTTGTAACCACAGAAGAACCATAAAACCATAAACAGCACATTCTCCGTCAATCTGAAGAACTCTTTCATGATGCAAAGAACCATTTAATCATGTAAAGGGTTCTTTGAGTGTGCATAGTTCTATATAGAACCATTTTTCTATACTAAAGAACCCTTGAAGAACCATCTTTTTTAAGTATATTGGTTTCTGTAATACAGCCCGTTCCTTAATTTAAATGAAAATAATCATAATGTCAATCTGAGTCACAATATTGGTCCGAAAAATCGCAATCACACATTTTCCGCAAATCGCCCAGCCGTAGCTTCAGTGCTAAAACTAAAGAAACAGTCAAATGTATCTTGTCTGATGGACTAAATTTGGAGCGAGGTGGGGGACACTGGACAAATTTGGTTGAACTACCCCTTTAAGATGACCTGCAGGAGTCTGAGAGAGTGAACTTCTTTAGAAAGTCTCCATTAAAGTCTTGCAAAAGAGCAGCAGCTCCATTCTGAGCTCACTACAGAGAAACGTTTCAATATTTCTGGCGTTTCTGAGACGCTGCGCTCTTTATTTATCTAAAATAAATGCAGCTTATGGTCGTGACACTGGAGCCGTATTCAGGAGGAGCACAACAGCCTGACAGATTCTGCAGATTCACCTGCCGGCACAATTAAAGCGCTCACGCACACCTCCGCTAACCGGCTAAAGCCCTCTGACGCTGCTACGCCGCGTTTTCACTCTCTGTCTATACACATCAAAGCGCGAGCTGTAGCGGAGGGGCGTTCTTAAAGCAGCGGGTTGTTGACGGTGCAGGTCGGTTTGTAAGGAGAACAGCTTTAAGGAGCTTAGAGCTCCGTCAGAAAGAGCCGGCTGGGTGGAAACACCACAAAGAGAGTGCAAGTGTGCATGTTCCTGAGTGGGTTTTGAGAAATAATGGTGGTTTGTGTCACTATTTGAGCTCCTCGTCCCCTATAGGCTCTTAGAAAAGATGGTTCTTCAAAGGTTTCTTCAGTAAAGACCATGGTTCCATACCATGAGTCCTATATAGAACTTTTTGCACGCTTAAATGGTTCTGTGCATGGTGAAACTGTCCTTTAGATTAATGGAGAATGTTACATACAGTTACATATGGAACCTTTTCAAAAATAGTTCTATATAGCATCAAAAAGGGTTCTTCTATAGTTGCAAGCTTGGCATTATAACAACAGAAGGACCCTTTTTGGGGCTATAGAACCATAAACAACACATTCTCCATCCATCTGAAGAACGATTTCACCATGCAAAGAACCGTTTAAGCATGCGAATGGTTCCTTGAGTGTTCATGGTTCTATTAGAACCACTATCTTTGCTAAAGAAACCGGGATATACAGCTACACACGTACAAACGATGGTCCTTCAAGGGTTCTTTAGTAAAGAAAATGGCTCTATAGCACCATGAACACTCAAAGAACCCTTTGCATGATTAAAGCGTTATTTGCATGGTGAAAGGGTTCTATAGATTGATGGAGAATGTGATGTATATGGTTCTTTAAAGAACCTTTTTGGTGCTATAAAGAAACCTTTTCAATAAGTTTCTATAAAGAACCATATAAAACACATTATCAAGCAATCCAAAGAACTCTTTAACAATGCAAAGAACGCTTTAAGCATGCATTTGGTTCTTTGAGTGTTCATGGCTCTATATAGAACCATTTTCAATCAAAAGTGATTATGATTCTCATTCTAAAGTGATTCTGATTCTTAGTGATTCTCATTCAAAAGTCATTCTAATCTAATTCTGACTGTAATTCTGATTCTAAGACAATCTAATTCAAATCAATCAAAAGTGATTCTGATTCTCGTTCTAAGGTGATTCTTATTGTAAAGTGATTCTGATTCTTCGTGATATTCATTCACAAGTGATTATGATTCTTATTCTAAAGTGATTCTGATTGAAATGATCATCAATCAAAAGTGATGCTGATTAAGTGATTCTGATTTTAAATGATTCTGATTCAAATGATTCTCAATCAAAAGTGATTATGATTTTCATTCCAAAGTGATTCTGATTATAAAGCGATTCTGATTCTTACTGATCCTCATTCACAAGTGACTATGATTCTCATTCTAAAGTGATTCTGATTGTTAGTGATTATGATTCAAATGATTCTCAAACAGGGGTTATTCTGATTCTCATTCTAAAGTGATACTGATTGTAAAGTGATTCTGATTGTAAGTCAAAAATGATTCTAATTTGTACAGTGATTCCTATCCTACGTCATTCTCATTTAAAAGTGATTCTGATTCTCGTTCAAATGTGACTCTGATTCTTATTCTTAAGTGATTCTGATTCTGAATGTACATCAGTTATGGTTCAAAGTGATTCAAACTCTAATTTCAAAAAAAACAAAGTCAGTCACTCTTACCTAATCCATTCTCACAGTCTGTAAATTCCATAGAATGCACAGCGCGGTCGACTCCGTACGGACCCATCAGTGTCCTGCAGGACAGAGAGAGGGAGAGAGAGAGAGAGAGAGAGAGAGAGAGAGAGATGAGGTTTGCAATCACTTTATTTTAGATTGCTTTATTCGTGCTTCGGCAGGTCAGTGTTCATCACAGAGGCTCAGTTAGTTAAAGCATCCAAAAAGAATCACTAATAAAAACAAACAGTGCAATAAGAAGAAACTGAAAATCTCTGAAAACAAAAGCAACATGCTCAGAAAACTAACACTCAGGAGTGGGCGACATCAATGATTTATATATACTAAAAAAGAATATTTTAGATAAAAGAGTGGTTCCTCTCCTTCACACCTCCTGTTCACTGCTTCCTATTAATTATTAATGTTAAAACAAAACGTTCAGTATCAATATGAGTTCTGAATAGGAAACAGGTTTATTGATACTGAAGTATTGATCCGCCCGTGACTCGCATTCACTACCAAACACACCATATGGGGTCGTGTTTTAATGTCCCCTCAGGACCCCTTCAGTCCACAGCACTAGACAGATGTAGTTCAATACATCACTGCTTTATCAGTGTGAACCCCTTAAAGGGCCAATATCCTACACTTTTGTGTTTTATTTTTTAACACTTTTCACATTTTTTCTGTATTTTATGTATCAAAAATAGTCATAATTAATTTTTACATAAGCGATCAATCTCTGTTGAATCTTTAGAAATAAACAAATTGGTTTAGTTACTATGTCTTTAAAGAGTCCATATCCCACATTTTCCCTACACTTTATTTTTCACTTGCACTTACTACATTTCTGTGCACTTATATACTAAAAACAATCAAAATCCATTCTACACAATCTTTTTTCAGCCTCTCTTTATCCCTTAGAATTAAACCGACTGTTTTTGTTACTGCATGTATGTAAATGAGCTCTGTTCTGATTGGCTGCCCTGTAGATACTGTGCTACATCAAACTATTTCCTTTTAAAAAAGTGAAATTTAAATTCAGTTTTACACTACATGGGCCCTTAAAGACTGAAATATGTAAATGAGCTCTGTTCTGATTGGCTGCCTTGTATTGTGCCTCATTCAAAAAAGCAGTTCGGGCTGAAACACTGCTTATAACTTCAGCGAGAATGGGTGGGGCTGAACTGCTGTAGGTGAAACAGGTGAATATATGTAAATGCATTCGATTTTGTGACATCACAAAAACAGTGAATTCAAAATGCACAGTTTTTTCAGTTTAGTTTGCACATATATTAACTGTATGTTTTGAAACTTTAAGAATGTTTCTATCCTACAGCAGAAATGTGAGGAAAATTCAGTTTTCCACCATATGGGCCCTTTAAGACTGAAATATGTAAATGAGCTCTGTTATGATTGGCTGCCTTGTACTGTGCCTCATTCAAAAAGCATTCTGGGCTGATACACTCCTTATAACTTTCTTCTAACTGAATAGGCGGTTAAACTTCTGTTGGTGGAACAGGTAAATATATGTAAATGCATTCGATTTTGTGACATCACAAAAACAGTGAATTCCAAATGCACTGTTTTTTCAGCGTAGTTACCACATATATTCACTATATGAACTGTATGTTTTGAAACTTTAACAATGTTTATATCCTACAGCAGAAATGTGAGGAAAAGTCAGTTTTCCATGATATGGGCCTTTTAACGGAGTAAAGCTTCCATTGTGAGTGATGCTCAATGTAACTGCACTTCTAAATACAGAAACTAGGCTTTAAAAGAGGAGCTACGAGAGAAGGTCAGAGGTTTTCACCCTTAAACAATGACCATCAATTATTTAGTGACAATGTCCAGCAGAATGTCCTACTCCTGGATGGGACATTTAGGTCTAAACACATCCACAATTTCAAAACCTTAGATGATTTTAACAGTATTCTCACTGCAAACAAGGGTTCTAGTGCTACAAAAAGGGTTCTGTGACATGTAACAACACTGGAACCCATTGAGTGTGCGAAAAAGAACCTACTACTACAGGTTTTCAATCATAGAGAAGAACCATTTATGCACACAGATGGTTCTTTGAGATGTCCTGCTTCTATATATAAACATTGCCTTTACTAAAGAACCCTTTTTAAGGGAGCAGCAGTGCTTTTAGGTGAAAATTACACAACTAGAACATGATAAATGGGTATTTCTTCCACAAATATCACATAAAATAATGCATAATTAGCAGCATTAAAGAGGAACTCCACCCATTTTTCAAAAATTCTACATCATTAAATGGTTAAGACGTAAACAGAGTGGTTCAGAGTGGTTTGGTGTGAAACGCTCTGTTCTAGAGTAACGTACCGAGTCAGAATTATTCACAGTGGTGGTGATAGGAACCAGACGTCCACCTCTAAAAGCTCCCTCACAGAAAGTTACTACATGAACCGGTTGTAAATGCCGCTATAAATGATGTCTGAGACACTGTTTTAGGATAGATTTTGGCCTAAACGTCATCATTCTTGGCAGACGGGGTACATGCAGGGCGTTGTGAGGCAAAATAGTCCCCAAAGAAAACTTCATTTGAGATTTTCCGCTATTTTACCATCATCAACATTCCATATAAACTCAGAACACAGATAAAATGTCTGTATTTGTGTTTTAGACATCATTCCTATCACTATTATTATAAAGAAATCGAAGCAGCTGCGTTTTTTGAACCATTTTACGTTATAGATTCTAAAAAATGGGTGGAATTCCCCTTCCTTAACCTTATGTAGTGTTATTATCTACAATCGGTGAATCTACAAACATAAAAAAACATGAAAAGAATATGAAATATGATGTAGAACAGAGTCAGGAAGTGCCATGAAGGTTCTCATAGGGTTGAATTATAATTTGGCCCCTAGATTTTTAATTTAAGGCTAAAATTAGCTTTTTTATTCTTTCTAAATGAAGATATTAGACATAAAAACCAAAATGTCCCAACAGTAATGAACAGGAAAATGTCAGGCTGAAGACACTAAAGAGCTTAAAGTGCACCAAGAGCTGCTTTATCACAGCTGTAGCCAAACAAGTGCACGTGCCATTCAGGTTAATGCAATTCATAACATTAACACTCATATTTCTGAGGTAAAATTTAACATGTTTTAGCTAAAAACACTTCTATCTCCACGTAAAAGCAGCAAATAAACTTTAAATTCAAATAAAGCTGCAGTTATCGCTGTCTTTTTATTCGAATTTTCCGTTCCACCTTAAATGGTGCAGCAGTTACATTGTGGCGCCCGAGGCGCCACAATGTAACTGCTGCACCATTTAAGGTGGAACGGAAAATTCGAAAAAGACAGCTAGCGAAAACGACGCCAACTTACTTCCAAACATTTTCTGGTGGACAAACACAAAGAAAAGACTCTAAATTCACTCTTTTAGACGAGATAACCCGCTAACTCCACTGTCTGAGCTGAAGATTTGAGCTTTAATTCAGTTTACAGTATGAAAAATATGCATTTTTTTACCTGCTTATGATGACTGCTCCTTTATACATGACAGAAAACGTGGGCATGTTGGAGTTTGTTGTGATCGTCCAGCATTCCTGATCCTTCTGCTGCCTCTCTCTCTCTCTCTCTCTCTCTCTCACTCACTCTCTCTCTCCCTCTCTCACTCACTCACTCTCAATCTCACTCCTCTGCTTCAGTCACAGCAGCCCAGCACCACCAGATTAAACCTTATGCAATATGGCCACAGACCCAGCCTGAGCTTCGTGCTCAGTGCTCTTCTGATGAAGCGCCGAGGCTCGTATACAACCACAGAGCGTCCACAGGTCCCCTGTCTGTTAGCTAAACAGGTCGAAGGCACTCTAGGATTTTTTTAAGCTTGCTGTATTTAACAGTGTTTGGTTTTAATGAACCCAAATGCAAAGGAAATTTATTTCCATCTGTTTTTCAAAAAATATTTATGCATAACATATAGGTGTACATGTAAGTTTCTTCCATGTGGGATTTCTACAGAATTCCTTAAAAGACTCCTAAAGTAAAATTTGATAATTAGGAATTTCAATACATTTTAATTTGGAGGTCAAAGATTTGAATTTCGATGTTTTATGCGTTAATCAGTGTCTTGATCCCAAAGATTAATTAATATTTAGATTAATATATAGATAGATAGATGGATATTGTAGTGTGTTCATTAATGTTCTGCACGTTAATTTGAAAATATTGGTTTTCCAGCATTTATTTATGGGGCTATTCCAATAAGGACTCTTATTGTGAAAGCGGGGCTAGCTGCCGAGCTGTGTTTATGCACAGAACACAAAGAACTGTTAGACAAAAGCCTTGCTTATTGTACGGCATGGTTATATATATATATATATATATATATACACACACACTGATCTGCCATTTCATTTTATGTACACTGATGTGGTGGTGGCATGTTAGCGTGTGTTGTGCTGGTGCGAGTGGATCAGATACTGAATGATACACCATCCAAGTAGTACCTGCTCTGTGAGGACCCTGACCATTGAAGAACAGGGTAACAAAGTATGCAGAGAAACAGATGGACTACAGTCTGTAACTGTAGAACTACAGAGTGAAACTATACGGTCAGTAGAACTGATAAAATGGACAGTGAGTGTAGATACAGGGAGGTGGTCACTTTAGATAAGTGACACTGCTGCCATGGTAACGCTGAATGATGGCGCACATGCAGTGAAAAAAAAGCTTATGAATTCTGATCTGAGCGTCACATTAAGGCCACACGGCCACGAATTTGTATCCGATCTAGGACCACATATGAAAGTGGCTCAGGTCAGATTTGAAAAGATCAGATTTTTGTGTCCACACAACTCTGAAAACATCAGATCTGAGTCACATTAGGGCAAAAAATCAGATTTGTGACACTTCAGCCTGGTAATTGATACACATATTATATGTAGTATACGTGAATAGAAGGTACAGTGGCCTGCGGGCTGAATCGGTGCCACGTGCCCGGCTGTAACGTGAAGATACAGTAAGCATTACAGTAGCAGACCATTTACTCTTCTTCCTGCAGGCTCCCTGTGACAGAATATAATCAGCAGATTGGGTTTTTTGGG